AAGTCTTTCAGAAAACCACCCCTTTGTGCTTTCCTCACACTGCAATGCCCTCTTCACCTCACTGCGAGGACTCAAGGAGGAGGGGCTTCTCCTGGACTGCAGGTTAAAACTCCTAGGCAACTCCCACAAGGCTCACTGACTGGTGCTCGCCGCTGTCAGTCAAAAGGCAGAGGCGTGGCTGTTATCCAGAGAGGCGGGGCTTAAGGAAGTGGAGCTGGATGGAGGACGGGTGACTCCTGCAGGACTGAAGGCTGTACTGGACTTCAGCTACAGTGGAGAAGTGGACAGAGGAGAAACAGATGAGGTTCTGGAAGCCTGTAGGTGTTTAGGGGCCGAAAGACTCAAGCTACCGTGTGGCAAAGACGCTGTGGTCAGCAGGAGCGAAGAGAGGGGGTTATACGAACACTGTGGGAGAGAAACATTGGCTGTGATGTCATCATACAGACAGACAGTGGAGACCGTTTCTCTGGCAACTACAAGATCTAAAAAAAATCAAGCTAAATATAAATAATAGAAAACAATTTTGCAATTAAAATAAATAGGTCATATACACAATTAAAATAAACTATAGTTTTTTTTTATTTATTTAATTTTACAGTCTTTTTTTCAAACTTTTTTTTGTCTTAACCTACTTTCAGTATTATTATTTCAGTCATTTTTCACCAAGTCATGTATCACTGCAATCTCTCGAAGTAAGCTATAACAATTTAAACTCAAATGAATGTTTCGTCATGTTTCATTTATTTGACAAATCATTTTGTATTGTAGTGTGAATCAATAATGATAGCATATTTTTAGCATCTAAGCACATCTTGGCACTTTTCTGCGTCAGTAAACTATATGACACATACAGTATATGAGCAATATCAGATGTGAGATATGGCTGTATATATCGGCACGGCTGTGATTCGGCAGTAGATAACCAAAGCGTGCCGATATACAGCCATATTGTACGTCTATGAGTGTGCTATTGCATTTATACAACAGTTCGATGGCAGGAGTGTGTAAATATATAAGAAAAAACAACAACGATGTGTCTTTTAAAACCCTCTTTTACGCAGAACTACTTTCTTCCGCCACAGATTCAAATATTCTATAAAGTATTATGAGAGAGAGATGGACTGAGCGAGTGTGATTACCTGCATTCATTCTTCAGCTCAATCTCATATTCACAATAAAACATTAGTCTGAATGTCCGCTGAGGAAATCTTTGTCATACTATCTTTCATCTGTTAAGGGTTATTTCCGATGACAGCGCTGCTCACTGCATTTGTTGGCTGCATCTTACAAGCTGTTGTTAAAAGTAAAAATAACTTCTGTTTCAGTCTCTTTCAATATAAAAGTCTTTACTGCTGACTCACTCATAAAAAAACAGTCTCTTATCACCATCTAATGGTGGAACAATGTAGATCACCATCACAAACACACACTGTTTCCCAATACTAAATACTACTATTATGTAAATAAAATATGATTTATTGAATAATAAACAACAGCAGCCATCATACAAGTTGCTAGACAGATAAATAATAGAAAACAATTTTGCAATTAAAATAAATAGGTCATATACACAATTAAAATAAACTATAGTTTTTTTTTATTTATTTAATTTTACAGTCTTTTTTTCAAACTTTTTTTTGTCTTAACCTACATTCAGTATTATTATTTCAGTCATTTTTCACCAAGTCATGTATCACTGCAATCTCTCGAAGTAAGCTATAACAATTTAAACTCAAATGAATGTTTCGTCATGTTTCATTTATTTGACAAATCATTTTGTATTGTAGTGTGAATCAATAATGATAGCATATTTTTAGCATCTAAGCACATCTTGGCACTTTTCTGCATCAGTAAACTATATGACACATATATGAGCAATATCAGACGTGAGATACAGTATGGCTGTATATCGGCACGGCTGTGATTCGGCAGTAGATAACCAAAGCGTGCCGATATACAGCCATACTGTACGTCTATGAGTGTGCTATTGCATTTATACAACAGTTCGACGGCAGGAGTGTGTAAATATATAAGAAAAAACAACAACGATGTGTCTTTTAAAACCCTCTTTTACGCAGAACTACTTTCTTCCGCCACATATTCAAATATTCTATAGAGTATTATGAGAGAGAGATGGACTGAGCGAGTGTGATTACCTGCATT